ATTTATGTGTGAGCACACATATTTATTAAGCATATATGTGTACTACAATTAACCATAATTCAAATAAATGCATCTCTTAAAAATTGATGTTCTTTGTTGACATAGCTTTTCAAATTTGTCATTCAAATTTACTAAGTGACTTATTTGATTCTTTAAAGTAGTGAAAGAATCTTTACATATGAGATTTGATTTGGTGTATGACTCTTTTATTTTAGTGCTATATATGTTATATAGGATTAGAAGACTGATGGTAATGAGTAAGCATCTAATCAGTATTACCATGGAATTGGCAGTAAGGAAGCATATTTTGGCTCTTTTTTGTTCATTTGTTACAGGTACTGCGTTATAGCTTTCCATTCATGTATTGGGCTACCCTAATTTTTCCCCAATTTTTACCGGAAAATTCTTTTTGTCATAAATTCGTGGGTTGATTAATACCAATATGCTTTCTTCAACCCGGAACCAATTCTCGACTGTCTTTGTGGAGCAGCGTGGAAGGGAGTACTCGCAAGAAGGGAACTTCAAGAGGCGGTGGAACACATAGTCGCGCCTGAGGCGCGATGCGCATGAAGCGCAGGGGTCTCTGCATCAAGCTTTGTGATGCGGGCAACGTACAGGAGGCGCGCGCATAACTGTGTGTCATCGCATCATGCGGTGCGATCTGACGCGCTACAAGGCGCGCATCACGTACACATCTTTAAATTTTAATTTTTTTTTAATTTTTTATCGATTAGTGACAACTGGTTGCTGTCGGAAAGATGTCGCCTAGAGTAATTGACCGCTGGTCGAAGTAGACGATGTTTTTACAGGAACCGACCCGATAAGAGAGACCCAAATTTCATTTATTTTATTATAAAACCCTAGAACTCCCTCACTGGTCGACTTGGACTGCGTTGAAGTCACAGTCCAGATCCGAAGCCCCTCTTTATTTATTTATTCTTTATTTTTAACTTCAATTACTTTTGATTTGTATGCGCTTGACATATGTGAAATAAACTGGAATTAAACTTACTATTTATTTCAGTTTTTTATTTATCTTGCAATTATGCTTTGAAAATAAATACACTATATATTTGTCGGGTTTGAGAATAAAATTGATGTAGTATACTAGTATTTGAGGTTTGAGAATAAGTTTAGTAAGTTAGTAGCTCCTTTTATTATTTGTTTTCACAATATTTATTTCAGTTTTTTGTGAGGTTCCCCCCTTTTCACCTTTTTTTTGTATTTATATTTTGTACACTCTTTCAAGTTTCCAGAATGTAAGAATCTCTAAATTTTGGGGTCTAATGATCCCAGATGGAAGTATGTTTCAAGGGTCACAAAAACAAATAGGAATGACACCATTTGCCTAATTTATAACAAAATCCATGAAGTCTATAATTTGATTCTCTGTTGCTTTCTAAGGTTTTCGTATGCTTTTCAACATTTTATATGCACTATTACTCTTTTAGAGATGCTATGCTACTTATGCCTCAATGTGCGCATTGTGTTCGTGATGCGCGCGCATCAATAGCACATCGCGCATCGAGGTAAGCTCGGTGGCATAACATCGAATCTCCTAACCTAAAAAAGCCCAAGATTTTCTTCAGCTACTCCAAACATATTTACGGAGTATTTTCTTACTCGAATTATATTCTAATTACTCCTATTCGTGAAAATTGTTGATGTTTCAGGTAATTGCCATTCGAGTCTGGAGAGGAAAATTGGATATCAATTAGTTCGGACATGGTGCAATCGGTTGATTTTCTAAGAATTTCAGTGTAATTTTGTTCATTTTCTTTAACCTCTTTTACACTTTGTCTTCGTAAAGTGTTGGATTTGGTAGGAGTGTTTATTATATTAATAGTGATATTCGGAGTCTAGGCATGGCGCCCATCATCAGGGGTTCAATTAGCAAAAAAAAGAGGATTTGTATTCCAGTCCAAAAAATCATATTACTCGCATGATATCACATCTCATGGGTGAAGAAAAGTGACAAAACTATTTTGAGTTTAAACATTTTATTGCTTCTTGATTATTTTCCTTCTGATATTGACTTTTTTTTCTCTATGTTTTTTGTTAGTTAACATGATACCATGGCAGTAGATGGCCCTCCATTTGATCCCAGC